TATGCATTTAAAACAAAAACGGTTTAATTTTAAAACCAGTTGATCTGTTCAGATCTGATCACCAGCAGGATAAACAGCCACTCTCTCTGTTTCAGCACACCTGGAAGAAAGAAGACATTCGGTAACACGTTGATTATCACTATGTTAACTATGACTGAAAACCAAACATTTAGCAGATTTAATGCAGAAGGTGTAAATTTAGAGGTATAGCTCACAGCAAAGCAGCTAACATGTACTGTAGAGATTTCAAATAATAAATTACATTGCATATTTGGTTTAATACTCAGTCAGAAATGTAAACTTACCAAAATTTCTGAACTTTAAAAAAAAAAAAGTTTGGTTTCAAACCCAGTTGATCTGTTAAGCCCAGCAGCAAAATAAACAGCCACCTTCTCTGTGGCCACGTTTTATTTAAAGGAACGTAGAGGTCTCCGTCCTCTACGTTCTTTTAAAGAGGAAGTGAGGTCGATCTAATTATTTTGAACACATGAAGTCGTCTAATAAAGAGTGACTTTACTCAGACCCCCACATACCGGTGGTGCTCTGTCATTGGAAATCCCATTTAACAGCAGCCATATCGTCGCCATATCGTCGCCTCTTCGCGGTTTGCTGTGGTGGCTAAAGGCAGTTTTCATGTACGTAATCCAAACTGTAGGCACCAGGATAATAAAAGTGAGCATGTTTTGCTGGCAGATTTCAGCATTTTAAATTAATTTATGCTTTACTAAACTGTTTCAGAAGAGTGATCATAGTAATCTGCATCAGCAGCGATGTGTCTCTCTCCCTGTCAGCTACCAGATCAGTTTCTCTGGTTGGTTAAGGGAGAGCAAACAGGCCAGATCATGACATAAACAGTATCCATGTAACACTTTAAACTTTTATCATAACCATGATAAGATTTTAAGTACTTTTCACCCAGCTCTAGTGCTTGTTCTTAAATATGAGATGCAACATAGGTGGTGATCAACGTGCGAATGTGTGCATGAATTAACGAATGACTTAATGTGTAAAGAAACTCTAAAGTCCATTTATTGTTACAATTTACCATAGAAACAGATTAATTAACAGCTACTTCAACTGATATGTTCAATTTAGTCTTTTTAAAAGATACATGTCTGTATACATATATATTAAAAGATTACAGGAGCAATAAATCAATAGTATTTCTGACCTTGTGGGTAACATTTGTTCTTAGCATGTATCACTCCAAAATGCAATGCTTTAAAAATTATTAGTTCTTTGTACAACTTAAATATAGCTATGAAGTGATGTTTTCTCTGATAAGGACTATCCCATGTGCAAGCATGAAAATAAATAGCAAAAACAGGAATAAAGGTAAAATAATTTTTCATTAATTTTGCCGTAGAAGTCATTAATGCCGTAATCATATTCTCAGCTGAGCTGCCTGTCAGACTAAGTTCTAACATTTAGGATTTTGGATAAGTTGGTTTGCAAACAATTGCATTTTTCTGGCAATGTGACGTTTTCCAACGGATGTTCACTAAATATTCTTTGCCAATTTTTTGATAATTACAATATTTTCTGTCATCATTCAACCTTGGCTGGTCAGTGGTCATTTTGAGCTCAATATATAATGTGAAGAAGAACTGATACATTGAGAAAGTGTAACTTATTTCATGTACAAATCTGTTTAAAAGATCTAATATTGGTAAACTTTTTATACTATTGATGTAATTTCTACGCTTCTATTGATGATAATGATCTTGCTTTTAATAAGCTCTCTTTTTGTAAGTTTGTGTTGGGGTTAATAACTAATTACTAAATAATTACTAAAAAGTTTTATTTGATTTTGTGATTTTTGTTATATTATTATTATTATAATCAATGGTAAAGTCCAACACCCCCACCAGCGTAATGGTATGGTCCATTTCACAAGCGAGCTCAAACCGTTTAGATTTTCTTCATATTATGTCCTCTCAGCCGCAGAACGGATAGATTGGAGCGTTTCATACGGTTTCAGTTAAAGTTAACAGCAACGACTTTACAAAATGGTAAGATTAATATGAAAATATTTTCAAAATATATTTAAATGTAGGCTTGTAAACTGAAATTCAGGTAAATTGAGCCGAATGCCTTAAACAAGCTAGCATTTTAATTCAACAGACAAGGCTTTTACTTTATTAACGAAATGGTAGTTTTTATTGACAAAAAAAGTTTTCAGGCACTTTGAATTTAGGTCCTGTTTGGTTTTTTACCAACATTCGCTTTGGAAATTGATTTTAATATATATTTTTAAGCTTATTTTGCACCTTTTTTCCGCTGTAACGGTTGTCCCTAACGGTTTCAGCTCGCGCTCTCAGCCCTCAGAGGGAACCATTGCGGAAACCAAATGACAAATGACTGGCAAAGAATATTTCTATTCTAATACAAATGCCAAACAGTAAGGAGCTAATGAGGTCAATGCATTTTATTTCGGTCTCTGTTATTTATTTATTTATTTTTGAGGAATTTAGGTAACTGGCAGAAATTTTGATGAAGGGTTATAATCACATATTTGACTCCACTGCCTCCAACAGGAATGAGAATTGAGGGATTATAGGATAATGATTACAACTGTACAATACTGTGGCATGTATACATTAGCCCCAGAAGATATGCTGTTAAATTATATCTGTTTGAATGTTATAAAATATAAGGTAATTATGTAATCTTTGTTTTTTTGTCAGCGTGAGTGCATCTCCATCCATGTTGGCCAGGCTGGCGTTCAGATCGGGAATGCCTGTTGGGAGCTCTACTGCATTGAACATGGGATCCAGCCAGACGGCCTTATTCCAAGTGAAATGCGCACCGGTGGAGGAGACGACTCTTTCAGCACCTTCTTCAGTGAGACTGAAGCAGGAAAATACGTCCCTAGAACGATTTTTGTGGACTTGGAGCCCATTGTTGTTGGTAAATATCTTTATTTATTTGATCTTATTTATCTTTATACTCAGTCAAACAAATAAATCCGGTCTATAATTAAAATGCGTCTCTTAGATGAAGTGAGAACTGGGCGCTTCAAACAACTGTTCAACCCTGAGCAGCTGATCTCTGGGAAGGAGGATGCTGCTAACAACTACGCCCGTGGACACTACACCATCGGGAAAGAGCTTGTTGAACCTGTTATGGACAGAATCCGTAAACTGGTAGGTGGATTCAATGTTGGATTTATTGAGTTTCCACATATTTAAGGCAATATTAATAGGGCTGCTGGAGTTTGAATCCAGCTCCTGCTGAGGCCAGCTGAAGTGTATTTGAAATGAGATTTTTAAGCGTCCTTCTTGTTCTCCCTCTCTGTACACAGTGTGACCAGTGCACCGGGCTTCAGGGCTTCCTGATCTTCCATAGCTTTGGCGGAGGAACCGGCTCTGGTTTCACCTCCCTCTTGATGGAGCGCCTGTCTATAGATTATGGCAAAAAGTCCAAGCTGGAGTTCGCCATCTACCCAGCTCCTCAGGTTTCCACGGCTGTAGTGGAGCCCTACAATGCCATCCTCACTACCCACACCACCTTGGAGCACTCAGACTGTGCTTTCATGGTGGACAATGAGGCCATCTACGACATCTGCCACAGAAACTTGGGCGTTGAGCGTCCAACCTACACTAATCTCAACAGGCTGATGGCTCAGTTGGTGTCCTCCATCACAGCATCTCTTCGCTTCGATGGAGCTCTGAATGTTGACCTGACAGAGTTCCAGACCAACCTGGTGCCCTATCCTCGGATCCACTTCCCACTGGCTGCCTATGCCCCTGTCATCTCAGCTGAAAAGGCGTACCACGAGCAGCTCACTGTATCTGAGATCACATCCTCCTGCTTTGAGGCATCCAACCAGATGGTGAAGTGTGATCCCCGCCACGGCAAGTACATGGCCTGCT